AAAAAAAAAAAATAGTACCTGAAAATAATAGCAGTGTCATTCCGAAATATCTCAAGGGCCTTTTCATAATCTTAAGAGAGGGAGTGTTTTCAAGATCCTGCACCAATTTCTCATAGCTCTTTGTCTCTATCGTCGCTACTGCCTGCCCTAAAAAGACATTAACCCAAAGAAATATAATTTTCAGGAGCACGCACCCAACATTAAAGGAACATAGACGGAACACGCGCCGAACATCAAAGGAACATAATTTTCAGGAAACTTGGTGCGACATGTTAAAAGACCGGCGTTCCACATGACTGAGAAAGTCCTATCATGACATTTCAATGAAGAAGTTGATAATATATATATGTGAGAAAGCAATAGCATATACACTGCACATTACACAAAATATAAAACAAAAGATAGAACTTTTTATGAACAAAGAGATTTAATATCACTGTTGTAGCAGTGATATGGAAACACATGTTATGAATAATCTTTTGTTTTTAAATATACTTGGAATGGAAATGATAACATGCTTAATTGGATACCAAAGAATCACAAGCCCCACAAAATTATTTTACTATTTTCACATAAAAAATTTACTTCTTAGTTGATAACAAACTTATTTCCAATGAGCCTTTTAACATCATATATAGTACGTTCTAGGTTAAGACCTTACCATATTCCCTTGCTTCCCCCTACCTTACACTTTCTGCTCAAATTAGAGAAGTCTCCTAGAAGAGTAACATATTAGATCAGATAAAAACAACAACAACAACAATTACAAATTTCAAGAAAGTAACTACAACAATTAAATATATCTAGCAAATTGTTACCTTGTCATTGAACTTAAGCTCAACCTTTAATGGTTTCATTGTCGAGTTGCGAAATAAAAGTCACCAACATGATTTCATCTGATGGTTGAAAGAAAACTCCAAGTATCTTTAATACAGAGTCTTTTAAACTTCAGCACAAGCTCTTCAAACTAAGTGTCAAGCTCAACAAAAGGAACACAAAATTAAGTATCCATTCAAAAGTACTTACCTTGCACCAAAGTTTACTTCCAACTAAGATGATTTCTGTTGCTAACATATTCAGAGGAGAAGTCATTTTTACATTCAGAGTCTAACAGAAGTGAGTAAACTACAATAGAATTTTATATACATAAGTTCTTGGAAGACGCTCTCAAATATTAAGAAGCAGCTGGAACTTTAATGTCATCTTTTAAAGTATTATCATAAGAATTGATTTGTACGCTTGCCCATAAAGATTTATATACATCAACTTCCTATTAAAAGTAGAATATTTCAACACACCATTTTTCAGAGGGCTATATCATTATGGATTATCTATCCTTTTCATTTATCTTGCAAGGTAAAGCGAGCATAGAGACTAAAATAGGTGAATATAAGAAATGTTTGTATGGAATCTTGAATTCATTTTCTAGTGCATCAATGTTTAATATTACCGTTTTAGTCTAAGAAGTGAATGAAGGATAGAGAAGGAGAAAAACTGAAAATTATATATCATGTTATTTTAAATACAAACATTTCAAAACGTCAAAGAGAAAATCTTCACAATCTAGCAAAGGTGAAATGTCAAATCCATAAGGAAGTAAATATGTACAAAATATTACTGAACCCATATGGTTAAAGCAAAACTCATTTGAAATAACTAAAAGAAAGTGACAGATTGCGTTACCTGTAAATCTAAAAGAAATTGGAGATAACGATTAGTAGGAAAAAAGTATATACACAACTTTAGCAGAGGGACGCGTAACAGAAGTGATCTGCCTCAATCAGAAAGATTTACATACACCTCCAAATTTAGCAGTAATCGTTTTATCTTCAAGTATAAGACATTATAGTCCATACACAACTTTAACATTTAATGATCGATAAGCAAAGATGACAATTTATTCTAACCGTACCGAAATATAAAGGTGAAACTAATGAGAAACACGTTGACTAAAAACACGTGAAGATCGTAATTTCTTTAGGAGAATACCAATGACGAAAAATATTTATCAATGTATCCATTATTCATTTAGTCAGTGCCAATTTCTGAAAAAGAGATATGTACACAGAAAGGTAATCCAGCTTTCGCTAGCTTCTTGTTTGTTTTATTTTGTTAAGTTCCAAGATGGTTGGATTTTCAGTTCATTCAATTTAGCCAACATGAAATGGAAAATATAAGTGAACAAAGAAGCTTTCAAACCCCTTGAAGGCTTAATAGAGTACTAATGATCGAGAAAAAGAAAAATGAAGAACAGTTATAATGGTAGCAGAATGTAACTCCTGAAGGTCAGTCCCACAAAAGGGATTATCTCACATAAGATTCTACATTCAAAAATTATAGCAAATGCTCTGAAATAAAAATATCGACAGCACACATATCACGGACAGAGCTGAATATGAGCAAGTATAATACTATGCCAAGGAAAAAATGAAACAAACTGTCACAATCAAATTAGAGAAGATGAAGCATAGTTAAGGAGTATAACTATTTAGATTGCAGACCAGAAATCTATGAACTTACCTATGAAAATTGGAGAAATTGAGTAGATTTTTTTTGAATATGAAGTTTCTATGCCCATCCCTGCATATCATGTTTGCAATCCTCTCATTTCTCCTTGAAGTAAATGCAAAGACCTACACATGAAAAATTAATAAATCTTAAAAACACTCACATCAAGAACAAAGCGTAAGGAAAACTAAATTTCAATAACCAAAATTTTTTTAAAAATAAAAATTAAATTGATAAATAGGGAAACGGACAGGAGAAGGAGAAAAAGAACCAGAAGCAACAACATCTAATTAACCCTAAATCCAGTGCATGCAACATTACTAAAACAGAAAAGCGAAATAGATCAGCAAAATTGAATGAAAAATCGAACCAATCGAATAAAAAATCGACAAAATATGACCTAAATTCAAAACAAAAGAAATAAAAGCACAAATATCGATAGCCGTCAGATACTATTGGAATTCTGTGGGAAGATTTATGATAACATTTGAAAGAAGATGGAAGAAAGCTGGTTAAAAAGTAACAATTGGAAGATAATAAAAGAGGTAGTTGATATGGAGAATTGGTAAAGTTTCATCGGACATCCCTATGCCTTCCATGAAGACGAACATGAACAATACGGTCACTTTGCAGAGCAAACTTTTTCTTAAAAGCTCGGACATAGAAGATAAACAAAATCAGTACGTGATTTATTTTTGTAAGTACTGAACTTTCTGCACATTACCCGATCCAATCTTCCCAATATAGAAGACAATCAAAATTTTCAGAAAAATAAACTGACCGAAAAAGGAGAAAATACAAAGGGCTCTTCGACCAACCTTGTTCAAGGACCAATTTCGAGCGAAGGAATGCATCAATTTTTGTAGAGAAAGGAGTGAGAAGCTGAAGAAATTTGGGGAGAAAGTGAAAATCAGATGTCTCTCACAAAGGTAAAACACAAGGTAATACGTTTCTGACCAAAAAAAAAAGAAGGAAAATGGGGACAGTGAACTTAAAATACACGTGGACTTAAGCAAACAAAGAAATAAAATGGGCCCCAAGTTTATGGTACAATTTTCATTACTTGTAGTACAACTGTTTGATGCTGTGTTAGTCCTTTCCAACTCCCACTTCTAAAGTACAATTTTCATTACTTGTAGTACAACTGTTTGATGCTGTGTTAGTCCTTTCCAACTCCCACTTCTAAAGTACAATTTTCATTACTTGTAGTACAACTGTTTGATGCTGTGTTAGTCCTTTCCAACTCCCACTTCTAAAGTACAATTTTCATTACTTGTAGTACAACTGTTTGATGCTGTGTTAGTCCTTTCCAACTCCCACTTCTAAAGTACAATTTTCATTACTTGTAGTACAACTGTTTGATGCTGTGTTAGTCCTTTCCAACTCCCACTTCTAAAGTACAATTTTCATTACTTGTAGTACAACTGTTTGATGCTGTGTTAGTCCTTTCCAACTCCCACTTCTAAAGTACAATTTTCATTACTTGTAGTACAACTGTTTGATGCTGTGTTAGTCCTTTCCAACTCCCACTTCTAAAGTACAATTTTCATTACTTGTAGTACAACTGTTTGATGCTGTGTTAGTCCTTTCCAACTCCCACTTCTAAATAAGGAGAAACATTACTTGTAGTACAACTGTTTGATGCTGTGTTAGGGCTGCTATGTTATAGGCCCTTTAATTAAAAGGGGCAATCCGTCCCAACCCATTTAACTCTCTAGCCCGTTAGGGTTGGGTTGGGTTGGGCCAGCCCATTTTGACAACTCTAGTTGGTATAATATTGTTGCAAAAATAATGCTAACTAAAACTCAATCGAAATTGAGATTACTATCAATTCTCCTATTTTTGCAAAATGGAAATTTAGGTAAGTGTTTTCTAAACATATGTATATTATCAAAGGCTGCACCTGTCAGTACCGACCAGATCAACTCTTTGTACATATTTGATTTACAATTGGCAAGCTTCACCATTGGTTTTTTGTATGAACATCAAGCCCAACCTTTTTTTAGTTCTATTCCACCTTAAAGTTATAAGCACTCAATCGATATTTTTTTATGGCTGCTACACATTTAAATATGGAAGTTAGGTAGTTCTAAAACAAAAAGTTC